GACTCAAGAACAGTTAAAAAGCTAAGAAGGACTGAATTTATTTTATGTATTAATTGTTTACATACATGAACATGCTTTGATTAATTGACAGTTCTTAATGGAGCACGTTTGATTTTAATAATATGTGGCAAAGACAAGCCAAACCAGTCACTCGTCGCAAATCGTGTTTCAGAGAAAATGGCCAAAACATGCTGGAATTTCAAATTTTTTAAAATCTATTTTATTGCATTAAACTAACCTTTATATATCTACACATCATTCTATGCTGTTATTTTCCCCATTTTCAATTATAAACAATACTTTTTAAGGATTTAAAGATAGTTTCTGCATGAGAAATGCCTGAAATCATAAACTTTGACAGTTAATTTCTCATATATTGTTCTTTAAACAGCTGTGTGGTAAAACGCTTGTAACTTCATAAGGAAATGTCCGATTTGAATGATTTTTTTTACCATTGTAAAGCTATTATTTTACTCTCTAACACTGTATTAATAACTCAAAATCAATTTTTGCGACGAGTGACTGGTTTGGCTTGTCTTTGCCACATATTATATGCTTGATTATAATTGTATATTTAAACTTGACTGTTACGATTACATTTGATAACTACCGTACGTTGGTTCACAGGAAATTTGTTTTCCAGATGCTTCAATAGAGAATAAAAATAGAATCTTAAACAATAACACATAAAAGATGCAAATGACTTAAAGTTATAAAAGTTATAATAAAAGGAACATATTGCAATAGAAGTTGGATCTCAAACTACTTACAGTAAAAGACAAACCTTAACTAAAACAATATTCAAGAGACAAATGGCAAGGTTTTACTTTTTTTTAAATAAAGACATAGATACATATAGTATTATACTGTAGATTCTTGGTTTCTGTTGTGGGAAAAAATTAAAGGATAAGGAGGAGAAACATAATTTGGAAAACATGAGAAACAAGCCTACATCTTATGATTTTAATAAATCTGACATCGCTTACTCAACATGCCATTCTCATTTTTGCAGAGAGCCTTTTGAGTTTACAGCACACAGAGGAAAGATTAACATGTTACCTGTACACTAATCAACTAAGACTAGGCCCCATGCCAAAGAAAGTTATGATTAATTCTAATCTAAGAAGTAAAGCGGCACGTATGTAAAATTCTCTCCTTTGGGTACAGTCAGCCAGTAATTTCAAATTTTGCATGAAATGGGTAAAGTGTATCAATGCAACATCTGCAATAATCTATTGTCCCTGGATAGTGTGAAGATGCCATGTGACCATTTTTTTTTTCTTCACTTTGCATAAATAAACTTTTCAGCGCTGAAGTATCAGTCTGTCACTGTCACAAAAGGGCTCATTGCCAATTTTTTTGGGTTAATAGAGGGAAGGCTGCATGACAGTTTCTTTTTCATGTTCCGAGAGTCAAGTTTGTTGACTGAACTGGGACCTCAATCATATGATGTGCATGGAGATGTATGCCTCCGGTGATCCTGCGTACCCTATACGGCCCCCATCTTCATTGTCCTTTCAAAAGCAACAACTTAACTGAAGAACAGGCGGTATACAACAAGGCCATGTGCGGTGTAAGGGTCAGGGTCGAGTGGCTCTTCGGTGACATTTTGCATTACTTTAAGTACAAAATTCTTTGGGCTAATCCCACCCACATTGGAGGAGTACTTTCAAGGCTAGATGAAAGAAAAGTACCATCTTGAAAGAATAAGGTTTTGAACAAAAAATTGGTCACTTCAAAATTATTGATCTTTCAGATAGCCCTAGATAAATTTATAATCAGCTGTAAAATAGTCATAAATATACTACCACAAAAAGATAAAATATTAAATTGAGCTGCTTTATATTTTGTTCAGAACTTGCATTTCTTATAGGCCTATTGATAAAGTAATAATTATTATAAAGAAACTTTAAATTACAGTTCATGATGGTGGCAATGTACAGTATGTAAGCGATGCAGAAAAGATTTTGTCCAGTACTACTTTGTTTATACAATCGTACAGGAACTTTACCAGGATGCAAGTTATATTTATTTCTTTTTATCCAACTTTATTTAGCAAGGATTACCCTAACAGCAATGCTGACTTAAAGGGGCCCTCTACAAGTACAAAAAAAACAACAAAATCAATTTGAAAATATAACAGTTAATAATATAGGCCTACATCATAACAACAAAAACAGTGGACAAGAAAATGCAATTATTCATATTTAAAGTTATTTAAAATTTTTTAGTCAAACTTGAAAGAGCCAAAAAAACAGTGATAAATAAATAATTAGATAAATAAATTTTTGTTTTCTCTAAAATTTTGCAATAAAATTAGAAATTCATAATAATAGGCCTAATAATAATAATAATAATAACAGTTTTATTTATTCACAGAAACTCATTTCAGTCTTTTTACAAAGATTGGTCTTCCAAGAAGCCATGTCCTTAAACTACTACAGCAAAACAAAAGATTTAAAAGTAAGAGAAAAACGAAAGAAATTACTGGTAACAGTAAAATTTAAACTAAAATTATCTACAACATACTGGAAAAGTTTGACACACAGGCACAGGCAATATCCCTGTGCTTTTCTTTGGAAAACTTTGGAATACTTTGCCTGACTCTATCAATAACTCCAACCAGAAACTTTATTTCAAATTACTCAAATATTATCTCTTAATCCCCCTTTTCGATTGTATTTACCACGGTCTTTATTTTTTCTCTTTACTTCCCTTGTACTGACGGTCTCATGTTGGCTTTCTTTTTCGTTTTTCTCATTCCCATTTTGTCCCTGTATCCTTCTAAGATGTGTATAAGAGACAGCAACAAGGCCATGTGCGGTGTAAGGGTCAGGGTCGAGTGGCTCTTCGGTGACATTTTGCATTACTTTAAGTACAAAATTCTTTGGGCTAATCCCACCCACATTGGAGGAGTACTTTCAAGGCTAGATGAAAGAAAAGTACCATCTTGAAAGAATAAGGTTTTGAACAAAAAATTGGTCACTTCAAAATTATTGATCTTTCAGATAGCCCTAGATAAATTTATAATCAGCTGTAAAATAGTCATAAATATACTACCACAAAAAGATAAAATATTAAATTGAGCTGCTTTATAACAAATCTGCTGTTGACTATTATTATTTGACGCCAGGGAGCATGGCGTGACTTTACCGTACTGGAAATACAGACGTTTTAATTTAGAAAAATATGAAGCTGATGAAAGCGAAACATACCTCAGGTAGGTCTAGGCCCTAGACAAATTATTATTCTTCTAGGCCTGGCTGAACATTAAAACCAGCCTAGGCCTAAGGCTTAACTAAGGCTTAAAGGTAGCTAAATAGTAGTACAAGTACTGCCTAACTATATATAATATCAGGCCTAGTCTAGCCTATGCTAGGCCTAGAGTAGCTACATGTAGTAGAATCACTAGGCCTAGGCCTATGCCTATGCATACTACTACTAGGCTAGCCCTGGCCCCTAGGGCCAACCTAGGCTCAGGCCATGCCTAATTATACTATTATTAGGCCTATAGTAGGATTAATAAATGGCTTGATGATGCTTTTTCGTAGAGGCCTGGGCCCCTCTAGGCTAGGTAGTATACGTATGCCTAGAGGGGCCTAGGCCTATACCTAATTTATTTTTTTATTTTTTTCTTCAATCCATAGGCCTAGGCCTATTATTATTAGTATTGTAGTTCTTATGGTTATAATAATATAGGCCTAGGCCTAGGCCTAGAGAAGTAGTAAAATAGTAGTAGGCCTAGCCAGTAGTAGTATAGGCCTAGTATAGTTTAGTTTAGTATACTAGGCCTAGACCTACATAGGCCTACTATAGACCTAGCCTAGGCCCATAGGCCTATACTAGGCCTAGGCTACTATCATTATTAGGCCTAGGCCTACTACTATCTACTACTACTACTACTAGCCTAGGCATAGGCCTAGGCCTAGGCCTATGTACGAACGAAGTGGGCGTTCGCGAAGTTTAGATCTGGATAATGATCGCAGCCTTGCGTTATTTCTAATCTATCAAAGCAAAAAAGTAATAGCGATATACCTATACCATTATCAATCATTGAAACAAAAGTAATATATTCATATATGATGTTTAAACTTACAATTCTAGCAATACTTTTTTGGTGAACAACAAGTCCAGCAGCAGTTTCGCGCGATTGAGAATGAGAACGAATCTGCTGTTGACCTTGTGGTTGACATGATCGACTGCTGCCGCGCCAAAATTGACTTACCGTATTATACTTGCTTCTGATTGGTCAGAAGTACATGTCTGCAACGGCGGATTCCCTGATTTACGTACTCTACGAAATGAACTCGACGAAAAAACCAAGCATTATGAATACAGTATATTTATTTATTTGCGCATATGCAGTTACATTAAGGCCATACCGCCGTTCCAGGTAATTCGTCGTCGTCGCTGAAACGTCGAACTATTGGCCAATCACATTCCTATTGTTAACTTTGATTTGATGTCCACCGACTCAGCTGGCAAAGTGAGTAATTTATTATTATAATAATAAATAATAAATACTAAATAATGATAATAAAAATAATAATAATAATAATAATAATAAATAATAATGATAACAATAATAAATAATAACAATAAATAATAATAATTATTATTATTATTATTATTATTATTATTATTATCGTTATCGTCATCATTATCATTAGGCTATTATTATTATTATTAATATTATTATTAATAATAATAATGAAAATAATAATGATGATAATAATAACAACAATAATAATAATAATAATAATAATTATTATTATTATTATTATAATTATAATAATAATAATATATAATTATAATAATTATTACAATAATAAGTATCATAATAATTATTATAATAATAATAATTATAATAATAATAATTATTATTATAATTATAATTATAATTATAAACAAATCTAATGGAAGCAACATCATTCTCAACACATTCTATTAATGTCCTACACCAGTAAAATTGCATTTTTTCTAACCTGGTTGGGATCAATACGTCTTTATTAATCACGCAATATACACATTTTGACGGTAATTGTGGATGTAGTTCCACATATACATTTAAATTGAAGGGCTTTTATTAGGGTATACACATATCCATATGACACACAAAATAAATAAATAAACGCCTCCCTCAAGAAACCCTTCCCAAAAGTAAACGCCAGGGGCATATATTCGAATAAATACAGTACGTACGGTACCCAAAATTCGGCTCATGAATAATAAAGTAATTATAAACCTTGCGTAATTTTAATAGAAATAATTAAATGTCGAACATAAACCCCTGACTGATTGACCGGATTCATGTCTCAGTCGAAATTCGTGTCTCCCTGAGGCGTTTGTTCCAAATGTGGCTCTGATGGGCGTTTGTTCATGTTAGAATAATTACGGTATTGATTTATAAATATAGGCTACAGCTAGTTATTTCTACATGCATTGCACAGACATATTTTAACATTAGTTAATGCTAATTCTATTTAGTGTACTGTTCTTTTTCTCAAATCCATACAAAAGTTCATAGGGAAGCCTACTCTGTTGAGCTATGTTTGCTTATTTCTAAAACTCAACGATACGATATTCGTGTATCGTGATGAACGTCATTGTTTCTTCGATAGGTCTTGTCCAAGATCTGATTTCTCTAATAAAAAAAAAATACATGTATAGTCTTATTTGATGTACAAAGAAAGAGGCATGAAGGACGGGCGGGTGTGAAGGCTGACTACAAAATAGTAATTAATAGATATCGACATTTAACACAGCATATTTCAAGTTACGTACATTATTTTACTCACAAAAAAATATATATTAGTGCAAGTTTTAACCGACTCGTAGTGAATTAATTATTTACATCGCTTTCTTACTTTAATCTTTTATGAATAAAACAATTTTTATTTATTGTTCGTTTTACATCAGGAAAACAACTTGCATCGTGTTTTCAGTTATGCCAATAAAAGAATCTTGTATCTTGTTTTAGTTAGATTTGTTTTCCCCTTTTAAAAAATAGTAGTATCAATATACTTTTATAACTTAATTATTGTTACCATTTAAAGCATACATGTTCTCACAATTATTTTGTGTCAATAAATATTATGAGTTACCATCAATTGAACCAGGATGTTTTGGAGTTGAAAAGTTTTCAACAGCGCCCGCACACAGCCATTCCTTACAACATTGATTCGGAAACTCTACCAGAACTGGTGACCTGTAATATAATAAAGGCGCTGTCTTTGCACTTTGCCGCATACGTATACCTTTACAAGCTGTATATCCAAATTCAAATGATGTATTTTATCAACGTCTTTATCAACATTATCCTGTCATTCATCGTCATCATCATTGTCATTTTTATAACGCATTACGTGATAATAATTCGCTAATATGATAATAATAAGGCATAATGACACTGTAATAATACAGTAGGCCTACTATTAAATATGTATATATATAAGCGATTAATACCAATAATAATAAAAATAATAATAATAATAATAATAGGCCCTAATAATGATGATGATGATAATAATAATAATAATAAGAAGAAGCCCTAATAATAATAATAATAATGACGATGATGATGATGACGATGATGATAATAATAATAATATTATTAATGAATATGAATAAACGAACGAACGAATGCTCTGTCTTTTATAAAAGCACTCTACACACTCTATCTTATATTATCAGAGCGCTTTACAAATTTTCGAGGAACAAAAAATTGCTGTAACTAACATAATGAACTGCTGTCATTCTCATGTGATAATTTTGACTTAATAAATTGAATCTGAGAATTGGAATTAAATACCAAAGCATTATTATATAATTAGGGCCTATTCCGTTGCCATGGATTCCTAAAGCGGGGCGACGATGTGTACATATGCTAAAGGGGAACAATAAAGTATGGAAAAGCTCACTCTGAACAAAATTGATAGGCCCTATACTGTAATAGTACCAATAAATTATTACCAAATAATTACCTGCAGGACAACGGTTTTACATATTCGTTGACACACATGGAAACACATCCATAAAAACCATACTCAAGACATGTGCATCGCTCGCGACAGCCGCGGCTGAACGTCGCACCCGGTGCAAACACAATTCCATCAAGAATACATTGACCACCGGCCTGTAGATTAGAATGTAATTTCAGAAAGTGTGTTTACATTCTTAATAAGGTAATTAAATTCTATTTTTGTGTCTGAAAAAATGAACATTAACATTGACTCTAGGAATATGTTCCAGTGGTGGATCCGGAATCCCCTCACCCTCATGTGTGTCACACCCAGTTGTAGACTAGAGTAAATTAGTATTTTACTAAATGTATGAAACTATTCTAATGGTCAATATATGCAATCCTGGCTCTGCTTTCTATTTGTTGGAAAAAGGGGTTTGGGATCATGTTCTCTGATAAGAACACAACCCCAGGTATTAAGTGTTAAATTTAATGTTATTACCGTACTGTTAATTGAAAGTGTGAAAGGAACTCACCTATTAAACCAACTTTCCTGTATTTTTGCATAATAATAATACTCTTAATCTGACCGGTGAATTTAAGAACTTAGGCCCTAATTGAAAGTAAATACGGTATACCATATCCTATTCGATATTTGAAAATGTACAATTTTGTTGTTGTTATAAATAAATTCATGTTTAAACGATTTTACCATAGACGGGTCTTTAAAATGTGTCTGTATTTTTTCGGACTGTCCTTTTTGTTTTATTTAAAACTAATTAATGGATCCTCTGTTTTTTTTTTTGTTTTTTTTTGTATGTTTTTAAATAAGTAATAAACAGATAAGCTTACCGTAGCAATCAAAAGTAACATCAACAAAAATGAAATTCGCTTCATACTTCTGAGCCCTCAGAGTGGAAATCAACATCGCCTACTATAAAATGAGGTTTTGGTTCAAACGGCGCTCTCACACTGCTACTGTTTTTAATGATGCCAATGGTTATAAATAAATAGTAAAGACCGTTTTGTGACATAATAATTTTAATATTCCAGCTTGATATATCAAATTTCCATCTCCACAAAGCAACACCTGGGACCGTCAGGTCTTTATATGGCAATCTAGATGGTTTTACGACCAATTTAATAATTTTCTCTTGGCTGAATGATCAAGTTTATACCAGATCAATATCGTAACAGTTTTGTACAATAACCCCATCAAAGATAATGAAGGGTTTTTGATCCTTATCTTTAATTGTTTATTCATGAGTAAAAATTGTCCACCTAAAGGTAAATGGATGTAAACGACTGTCGCTTTAAAGACTATCAATCTTTGGTATTAGACCAACGCTAGGTAGCGCTCTTTCAACAACAAAAATAATATTAAAGGAGGATGTTGTTGCAATGATGTAAAAACACTCGGAGCAAAACGGATTGGTTTCATCATGTGAAAGCTGTTTTATCGAGACACAAGTAGCCATTCGAATCGATCTTGCAAGAAGGATTTCCATCGTAAGTCTTAATATTTGTATTAACGAAAATGATAACGATCGGCAGCTTATTTCCGATATTCAAAAAGGCTAGGCTAGGCTAGAGATGTGATAAACGGGAGAAAGTCGTACACCACCACCGGACACTCAAACGCCACTGCGGTTGCTGTGCCGTGGCGGTTGTCTTGTTTCAGGATAGGCACAGCCTAAACTAAGTAGGCCTAGCCTAGATTCGGAGGCTATACCCATAGAGTTGTATTAAAAGTTTTTTTCGCTAATGCACTTTTAATCGTATCTCCAGTCTTGTTATCTTAATGTTAAGGTTAGGGTTAGGATGAAGTACTACTCTAGGCCTAGGCCCAAAGTCATAGTGCAGCACCCAATTTTTTATTTTATTTATTCACAAACCATTAAGATTCCATGATTGAAGGATGTGCCACGCCAGCTTACAAAATATGTATTTAGACCTATAACGACGTGTGTAGAGTAGAGCGAGAGAGGTACACGTACGGTGCGCTACGGGGGATAACTAGGATTGGATACAGCCTCCCTCTCAGGGAAGTTAAAAGAGATTTGTCGGGGGATAAAAAAATAATACTTATAAAATGAAATGGTACTCTTTAGCTGCAACAAAAATAGCAGCCTAATTTTACATACGTGCAGCTTAGCCAATGGCAGTAGGCTACAGTAGGCCTACAGTATGTCTAGTAAGGCCCTAAGTAGAATTGTTGACTTAATTAAATTAATTAATTGAGAATTCATTTTTATCAGACTCTCATGTCAAAAATGTTATCATTTTTAATATTGTAGTTCTTCAGTAATGATCGGAAATGTCGGCGTTCTACCAGTCCAGCAATAAATTTACGATATTAACTTTTATTCTTATGAGGAATCACTAAAAAAAATGTTAAACTTCTATTCTCAACACAACATAATATTTTCTTCTGTTAGTTTTAAGCTTCAAACAGAAGTTCAACCTTTGTTTTTATTTGAATACCGACATGAGCTTTTATTTGGATAAATCATCATTGTTTGTATCTTGTATTCAGGCGAAAATATTGTTGGTAAAGCTTTTATTTCATTTGTGTCATATTAAATTGCATTCTGGGTAATTTTCACGTCTTATTCAGCTTGGTATCAAATACGCAACTGTTTTATGTGGAGTCAAAATGCAGTGGCAATGTGGTTCTTACCTTGTTAATCAACCAATGATAAGAGAACCGTTTCTATCTCGATTTTCAGTAGAAATTAAGAAATAATATTAAATAGTGTAGAATGGGTGTACAGTTACTGCATGCTGTTATTTATTCTTAATAAAGCCTAAATGACTTCTTTGAAATCCAGACATCAATTCCTGTAATTGTTCTTTAGCAACTGTCCTTTAAAATATTACTAATACCACCACTAACATTATCATTACTAAATATACACAAAACACACACAAATCACCATTTTATGATGTGCATGTGCAAAGCCCTATAACAAAATTCAGTAATGAAAAATTAGCATTAATTTGTTTGTTTTATAGTCTTTAATTGGAGGGAAAATTTTCATTTTGGGTCCACCAAACCCATGGTCTTTATAAATAGAGGGAATCTTTAATTGGAGGGAATAGCTGCTAATGTTAAAAGATAGGAATTCAAACAGGACCACAGAAAAGTGATCTTTAATTGGAGGGAGTCTTTAATTGGAGGGGTCTTTAATTGAAGGGAGACCTATATTAATATAATAATAGACCTACCTTTAGAAAATCATCAAATGTATTTTGTCCTAGGCTAGGCCCTGGCCTTACCGTACAATTACATCAGCCATCGTGCAACCATTGCCTAAAAACACACCACATATAGTACATATGTGGCAAATATTGCATAACCCAGACTCTTTGTAAACTGTGCGCACTTTTTGTTTACTTTCTTCGATTGTTATGGTACCAAAATTTCAAAAGGTCATAACTTTTTACATATCAGGTATTTTTAGAATATTTGAAAGGAAAATCCAAGGGGTTGGGGTGGCCACAGGGGAAATTCTGTCTTATTTCAGCGAGAACGACCAGTGATGGCTCCAGAAATTTGACGATAGGGGAGCTTAAAACAGTGAGGCTTACTCAAACAATTCATCAAGTAAATTACTTCTAAGGTACAGTATTAAGAATGTCAATGTATACAAATTTTACAAGTATTTAAACAATGCTTACGGTAGGCCTACAGTGTGATCTATATCATTGTTGTTTTTCTACAACAATATAAGCAATGTGTTTGAATGCTTCACATATTGAAACAAAGTTGATTTTACATTAGATTAGGAAAAGGCCAAGTTATGTCCACAGCTCAGTAATGTAGCCACAGGGGGTTTCTAGGGTACCTGAGCACCTCTCCCCCCCCCCCCTCTTTTCTGTTCAAACACGAACAAATAATTAATAGTAAATTAACAGAAATACATGCATAGTTTTTTGTTGCTTCCATCAATGCAACTTGTGCTGAAGCACCAAATAGTCCTTGGAAGGCTTGGAATGACAACAACATACTATTAACAAGTGGAAAAGACAAAAATAAAGTTAAGTTCTGACTTTCTTTTTCTTTATGACACATCCATTTGACCTTGGTTTACAGTAAGTGTAGGCCTAATGTAAGTGGTTGAAGTGGTAGACCTATATTGAAAGTGGGCCAACTTGTGTATTGTTTTTTTTTAACATTACAAAACATTGTGCTGTAAGACTATAACCTGTTATTTTAAATATTGGCATAATATTAAGTAAACCACACTTCAGAATACATTAAATTTTTTGACAAAGATATAGCCATCTACATAAAATATTAAAACAATCTTGAAAATAAACAAAAAATGAAAATTGCCTACTGTAATTTGTAAATTTCAAAAGTGAATACTAGCTTTCAATTGAAAATTATAAAACTTACAAAATTTCTATTCTACAAAGTTCTTAAATTGTGCCCTAAAATTGGTTCAAAGAATAAATTAGATTATAAAAACAAAAATTGTTGACCACAAATCTGTGTCTTTCACAAGGTGCACTGTTGGAAGTTGGCTACTTACAAATTAGATTCTTGGCTTTGCTTTCGTTGTTTTCCTGTAAGTAATTCTCCAACAAATGTTATTTTAATAGTTGTGATAAAGGGTTTACAGTACCACTAAACATATATTTAGTAAAATCAGATTTTTTTTTTCAGTTGTAGAGATATCATCTTCCAAGGAAAACTGTTTTTTAGTCTTGAAATGAGTCATGTTCCAAAATAAGCATTGGTTTTTTGCAATATTCCCTAGGCCTGTCTGTGAGAGGGAAGTGGGAGAACGACAGGTTAACACAGGGAACAAGCGCTGGTTCTATTGATGTATTAATTTCTGGTTTGGCTTTACTGCCTGGCTTGACCTTTTCAAGAAAATTTGTATTTAATTATGTACTCTCTATATACCTATTACATCCTTTCTCTCATAAATCTAATTGTGACTTCTCTGCACTTTATATAAAAAAATATTTCCATTAATATTAATAAATGTGATATGAACACTAGATATAGGTACCAGTGTACTTATTATGTCATATCACATATCCCCTGTTTCCTCTTTATCAGTATCTTAGGTTTGCAGTTTCTAGGGTAATATCTTAGTCCCACATCTGTTGGCAAAGGTGGAAGAAGTTCTTTCTAGCCAAGAAATGACCGTAGTGAAACCACAATACATAATAATTAATCAATGAAGATTAATTTCTTTTTCCTTTCTAAATGAAACCAGTTTTATAGCTTTCAGATTAGAACCATGGTCATGATGGTATAAATAAGTATACAAGAATACTACATTGGCAATATTCCATCCTGTGCCTATTTAGAAAGTGTCAACCCTATAAAGAGGACTTATTAGTATAGGGCCTACATTACAAGTATTTTTGAAGCTGCCATATACTTAATACTGGTAAGTGTACTGTACGTAAATTATGTAATATATTGAAATCCAATCTTTACTTTCGGATTTTACTAAAAATTTGTTGTTATACAGGCATTTATTTATAATTTTGTATCACTCCATGCACCCGAAATTTGCTGACAAAATTTTTGACGAAAGGGTCTGAGCCAAGGGGCCAATGAAGCCTCGGTTGACGGTCCATTGTAGGGTTCACAGGGAGAGTTTTTATGGCATATTATGGTCTAAAATGTGCCTTTAGACCAAAATATTAGTGATTGGCAGTCAAAATAATGTTAATTTGGATAGGCAAATTATCTTTTTTTTGTTTCTGATCTGTCGTCGGAAGACATAGGGTTCCAGACATATCAGACGGGGGGAAAATCACCCTGCCCCTGCTGGCGCCACCACTGAGTAAAATGCTAGTAACAGGATAAATTACATATGATAGGAAGGGTAGATCCAAGAATTTTCTACTGGGGTGGTAGGGAATCTGACAAGAGTGCACACACATATTAGTCACACCAGGTAGATGTACATAGAAGTGGCACTATCTGTAAAAATGCTTTTTCAACTAAGCAGTGCTCAACAAAATTATTGGCTACTTCAATTATTGAGGGGTTCCAGCGTTCTTCACCTCCCTCCCCCCCCCACCCGCTCTGAACAACTACTTTTGCTGCCAATAGCTATAATCAAGGACCTTTGACCCATGTGATTGCATCAAACTATTCCAGACTTTTAATTGACAGATAAACATAGGTACGCAGGGCCAGATTAACATAGGAGCTTTTAGGGTGCCAGCCCTATGCCTACAGGCCCCAATGGAGGAAAATAGGCCCCCGAACCCCAGGAAAAAATCACTGAAAATCTGGATTAATGTTTTAGCCACAGAGTATTTAGGCCCACTTGCATTTACAGCCCTAGGCCCCACAGCCCTTTGATCCAGCCCGGGGGGGGGGGGGGGGGGGAAGGGGGCACAATTTTTTTGAAGTTGGTTAATACCTGTCTCTTATACACATCTAGATGTGTATAAGAGACAGTCAACAACGATCGCGAAAATTAAGGGTGCGCGAAAATCGCGAAAATCTCAATAATTATATTTGGTGAAAA